CCGAGCCGCGTGCGGGGCTGGAGGAGGAGGAGCTGTTGCCCAGGCAACCGCTCAGAGCATCCTTCATCCCGCGCCCCCAGCGAGCGGAGCCGCCTCCGCCCCCCGCACCGGGCCGGGACCCCAGCGTAAGGCCTCGGGCACCGGGAGCGTGTCCGGCCCCTCGTGGCTCCCACCCGGAGCTGGAGGCCAAAGGGTGGCATGGGGCAGGGAGGGCCCTCGGGGTGCCCGGGCTGTCCTGGCCCCGAAGCCCCGGGCTCTCTGCCACCCGCCGTGTGCCCCGGGGACAGGGATGGGACACCAGGACAGGGGTTGCTCCCGCAGGGCCAAGGCCCCAGCTGCTGCGGCACAAGCAGTGCCCGAAGGGGAGCGGCACCAGTGCCACGCGGGATCGCCCGCCCCAGGCGCTCCCCATCCCCCTGCTGTGCTTTCCTCTTTCTTTTTTTTCCACGGCTGCAGAAAATTCCTGGATTTTACCCCAAGATGCCCCCTCCGAGTGTGAGAACTCCTCCTCGCCCGCTCCCATGGCAACTGTTCCCTAGCTACCGGGCCGCACTTGCTATTCTCATCCCGGCGCAGCTGCGCCCRGCCGCCCGGCGCTGCGCACGACGCTGCCGCCGCGGGCACCGCCGCCGGCCCCGGCCCCGCATGTGGCACCACAGGGGCACAAGGAGCCGCGCCCGAGGCCCGGGGCAGCAGGGCTCACGAGAGGGACGGGGCCCGGAGGATGATCCGGGTGCAGCTGTGCCCAGGGCAGGGGGGATGCCCGGCCCTGCTCGGGGCAGGGGGCACTGCTGGTAGCACCCAAAGGCAGCAGCTTTGTACCCGTCCCGGCRCCGTCCTGGTCCAGTGCAGCCCCTAGCAGGTCAGCCCCACGCGCCCAAAGGGAACAAGGCGCAAGGCGTTGGGTGCCACTCACTCAGCTCCTCTCTGCGCGACAGGAACACAAGACACGGCAAGTCKGACACTTAACAAAAGGTTAAAAATTTAAATACTCTCCAACTTTAGTGCAAGGCAAGCAAATACCACAGGTCCAAGTCGGTGCTGAGCCCCGCCACGGGGCCTGGCTCAGGCCGAGCACGCGGCCGCGACGCACGCGGCTGCACACATGGAGGGAAGCGGTGCTCGGCGGGGACACGGGCGGCAGCGGCTGCGCGCGGGCACCGCGGAGCTGACGGGACGGGSCGAGAGCAGGGCCGGGTGGTGCCGCTCCCCAGGGACACGGGGGCTCCAGCAAGGCCCGGGGCACAAAGGCAATGCCGCCAGCAGCGCTGGGGGCCACACGCGTGGGGACACCCCTGGGGACGAGCACCAAGTGTAGCTGGTGCAGCAGGGAGGCTGCAGCACTGGCCTTGCTTGCTCGTGGTGACAGTGTCCCCATTTCCTTTACCCGAGTGGGGCCCTCTGTGCCCCGAGGCCTGCCTCTGTCCTCGTGCCAGTGACCGGTGGGCACCACCAGCATCCCCCAGCAGGCACAGGTGGCAGGAGCGAAGCTGGCGGGACGGTGCCGGGAAGCTCCCGCGCCCCATGGGGCCTCAGCTCACCCCTTCYCAGGCAGCAGCAGCAGCAGCTCCCACCCGTGCAGGTGCCGCGGGAGAAGCTGCAGCCGGCTGCGCCAGAGGCAGCGTGCCAAGGGCCTGGAGAGGGCCAGGATCAGCGCCCGGGAGCCGCGGCACGTGCAAGACCAGGCAGGAGCAAGCAGGCTGCGGCAGCCAGCGGAGCGGGGACGAGGCAGCAACGCGCTGCTGCCAGGAAGCCCTGAGAGACGCGTTGGCACAGCGGCCTCCTGTGCCTCGAGGCTGAGCAATGGACTCCTCTGGAGCCAGGGACGCCTCAGCACAGCCAGGAAGGCCCAGGAAAGATGCCTTAGACACCTCAAGGCACAGAAGGCCTCAGCCCAGGACTCCCTGGTACAAAGCTGGGACTGTCACTCCCCCATAGGAGGACATTTGTGCCTGTGACAGGGTGGGGGCAGTGCAGGCCCCCACCTATAGATTAAAAACCAACATGTGATATGTACAGACCAACATATATAAATATACACCAAACCTGCAGTGCCGCTTGGGCACCGTGGAATGTGTCAACAGTGCTGCTCCAGCCTGGCACCTGCCCACGTCAGCGCCATCCCTCCCTCCCGCCCGCAGCCCGGGCCGGGAGCAGCAGCCAGCGGGCAGCAGCACAGCCCCAAGCGGCACATTCAGGAGCATCGGGGTCTGTCTCGGGAACGATGGCTCCCCAAGGGGCGGCAGCTCCTTGGCCCGAGGCAGACGGTAGGTGCTGCTGCCAGCCCCGACGCCATCCTCCACGTCTTGGAATACAGATGTGCAAAGCTGTAAACAAATCCACCTTGTGGGGCCGCTGCTACCTTGTCCTTCAGGCTGGCCCGTTGTTCTGCTGGGCACCCGGAGAGGCAAGAGGCTCCCAGGGGCTGGAGAACGAGCCGTGCTCTACAGCCGCGTGGGCTCTTCCTCGCTGTCGCTGCAGTTTCCACAACAGTCCTGAAGTCAGAAGGGCAACGAGAGGGAAGAGGGAGAGAGGAGCACAGCAAGCAGAGGGTGAGCACGGTCACACAACCCAGGCCACGAGGGGCCTGTGCGCACGAGAGCCGCGCGGGGGGACAGGCTGGGGGTGCAGAGCAGCAGCGCAGCTGCGGCCTGGGGACGGGCTGGCGGCTGCTGCAGTGGCCTGGGAGCTCGGGAGCTCCCCGCGGCGCTCGGTGCCGGCGCCCGGCCTGCCCCAGGCAGCGCTCATCGGGCCCGAAAGGCAGCTGAAGCCCTGTGGCCAGAGCCGGGACACGAGGCAGTGACAACCCCGTCGGCCCTTCCCTGCGTCCTGGACACGTGAGCAGAGGGGCAGAGGGCCCCGGGAGCTGGGCTGCCCCGCAGCGGGGCGGCAGCCAGAGCGGGCAAGCAGGATTAGTGGCTCGGGGGGCAGTTAGAACACAAGCAGCGTGTGCTCTGCTGGGGGAAGGGGGCAGGCTTGGAAGGACAACTCCTCTCTCCCAGATCTTGCCACGTCCACGGGCCACCAGGTATTTCCCTGAGCAGAGCAGCCAGGAGGGAGACTGCTCACCTCTGGAAAGAGAAAACACGTGGCAAATCAAGGTCCAGCCCCTGCCACAGGCTGCCCGCCCGTGGGTGGGTTGTGTCTGCCTAGGAAGAGCAGACAGCAGAGCATCCCCATCCAGAGCTGGCTCCAACTAGGTCAGGACACCAGGCTCCCACCGAACAGTGAAACACAACTTGGAGCTGGGCAGGGAAGGAGGACTCTCAACTAGGTGGTTAAAGTGGGTCCTGAGCAGACCAGAGCCAACAATGCTCAAGCCCCACAGCTGCAAGCAGCTGTTGCAGGACAGCAGTCCAGAGTTCACCAATGGAACATCACAGGAAAGACAGAGGCTGTTCTGGGCCAGAGCAGCACGCAGGTAAAAACCCAAAACGTTCATGTAGGAAGGCAGCAGGTTTGCCATTTTAGTGCCTTCAGCAACCCCCCTCCACCTTTGTTGACTACAGCGCGTTTTAGCTGGGAGACACGGTCCTAGTCCCGCCGTGTGCAGCAAGGGGAGTGCCAGCCAGGGGAGGGCTGGCTCCCTCCAGGCCTATGTGACGGGCAGGGCAGAGGAGAGGTGCAGAGAAGGCAGCAGGGCTCCCTGCAGCCTTGCACAGGTCCTCACAGAGCCCTGGGGGCAGGCTGCCTGGCACAGGGAGGCCTCTGCCTGCTGCTCCCTGGTGCCCACCTCCCTGCCAGGTCTGCCTGGCACTGGTGGGCAGCAGGCCTGGTGCTGCTAGAGGACTTGCTGGGAGGAAATYCTGGCCTAAGAGGCCTACCTGTCTGCTGAAGAAGCGCTGAAGCAAGCCCTTTTTGGGCTGCGGAGAGGGCTGCCCTTTCCAGTCCAGGTCTGGGGGCACTGTCCCGTCCGTGCTAAAGACATTCAGCTCCTTAAAACACTCTGTCTCGATCATCTGGAAGAAGGAAAAGAAAGTTGCAGCAAGGGCCAGACACCAGCAGCCAAGCTCAACATCAAGGGTCCAGCAGAGCACAAGAGCAATAGGGACAGCATTGATCCTGCGCCCCGCAGGACACAGCGCTCAGTTGGCCTGGTGAGCACAAGCAGCAGTGAGGACCTGTCCCATGGAAAGGGGCTCCCTGTCACACCAGTCCCCACCTACCTCGTTCTGCCAAGGAATGGGCACGCTTCCCGTAGCGAACTTCTGGTAGAAGTCATTATCTGTGGGCTCCAGCTCAACGCCCTTCACCGTGGAGAACTGCTCAATGTCCAGAACATCCTTGCAGTAGATGGCCTGGGGCTAAAAAGCASAGAGAGGACCCTAATGCCAAGCTCCACAGTCATGCCACCCCAACTCCACCAACTGTGGCTCCTAACCAAGCCAGGGACCCCCCGCCTCCATGCAGGCAAGAGCTTGCAGCCCCATTCTGCCAGGCTGGAGGAACTGGGCAGATTCATGTGCAGCAGGAGCAAAAGCCCCAGAACCATCCCTGCATGGAGGGCCTCTGCTCAGGTGAGAAGCAGAGGGGACCTCTGCTTCCCTTGACAGCAGCACTAACTGGAAAGGCTGGGACACGGAGCAGTCTTCCTGGACAGGCACTTACATCGGGCTTGAAGGGGGGTTCCAGCATGCCTGCTTCCAGCCTCCGAAAGTTGAGATGCTTAAAGAGAGGGTGCTCCTTCACTTCCCTGGCCCCAGCTCCTCGGCACCCCAGGCGCTCCAGAGGATCTTTACACAAAAGCTGCAAGACACGGGGAATCAGCACTGCAGGAGGGGTCACCTGCAGGAGGAGCAGCCTGGGGCTCAGCTGAGCTCCTGTGGCACATCCCTAAGGACAGCGTGAGCTCACCAGCCAGCCAGACTGCGAGAACTAGGGCACCCTGAACCTTCCTGTGCCATCTTATCAGGGAACCCACTACATGCAAAAGGGTGGTCYGTGCCCAGGGAGAGGGCAGCCCACTCGTACCATGGTGCAGAGGGAGCGGGCGCAGGGCGAGAACTTCTCCGAGTATTCCTCCTGCACATCCTTCACCAGCCGCTCCACCTCCTCCCGCTTGATCTTCTTCTTGCGCTGCTGGAAAGGGGACTGTCCCTCAATCATCTCGTACACCAGGCAGCCCAGGGCCCACCAGTCYGGGCTGAACGTGTAGCGCTCGTTCTTCACCACCTCGGGGGCTGCACAGGAGCAGGGCAGAGGCACGTGTGAGGGCAGGGAGAGCAGCCGTGCAGTCAGAGCACACTTTTTGACTAAACTGGCRCCACTTACCCATGTAGCCAACTGTCCCCACCCGGCCCTTGATTGTCTGGCCCTCTGGCACRTGCACAGCTAGCCCCAGATCCGAGATACGGATGTGACCTGCACAGAGGGAAGGGCAGGTTAACAGGACAGGGCCAGAGGTTGCCAAGAACACAGGGCAACCGTGATTCAAGCATGGAAAGGGAGAAAGACCCAGGCTCAGAGTTTTGCTCTTCACCCTTCACTCACCATGGTCATCTAGCAATATGTTCTCTGGCTTCAGGTCCCTAAGGAAGAAGAGGCTCCATTAGCAAGCAGCCTGTTGTCAAAGCAAGGGCACAGGAAGCAGCAACATATCAAAGCCCTAGATAAGCAGCAGAGGGATGCAACACCCCCGCCCCAAGCACACTGATAACCTCCTTCCTGGGTTAGCCCTGCAAACCGCCCCCACCCAGGCACAGAGGCAGGTCAGGACAGTGACTTCAACCCTTCAGGAGAAGGAAGCGGTGAGCACAGCGCTGCTTCCTTCTTTGCTGCTGCAGGAGTCAGCACAGAGCTGGCCCTGTAAGGGGGAAGGAGCAGGGACTTCTGCTTGTCCTGCCTGCACTCCAAAGCCAGGCCTGGAAAAGGCAGAACGTAGGACAACGGGGAACTTTCTGGCTCTGTGTCCAGGCACTGTATTCCTAAGGCTGTATCAGGCAACTCAACGAGTGTAGTCAGCTTGTTYTTCCTCCTGCTCAGCTCCCAGCCCTGTGTGCCACTGCAGCTCACTCTCCTTTGTTCGAGTGTCAACACTGTCTGTAGAACTAAGCACCCAAGTGTCCGCCCTGAGGCATTCACAGCATGATCACATCCTGTTCTTGGTGCTCATTTACCAGTATAAAAAGGAAAGCTCTCCTGGCTCTCCCATGAGATCAACTTTCCATTCCTGATCCCCACTCATCCAGCTCTGCGCTGGTTTCAAGTCTGAGCTTATTTTCTCGAGCAGACAGACCTTGATGGGCTGACAGGAGCAGCAGGAACCCTCTTGTTTTTGCATGTGGCACAAGGCCTCCCCACGGGGCACAGGCAGCCCGTACCTGTACACTATCCGCTCCTGGTGCAAGTCCTCGAGGCCGCAGCAGATTTCAGCAGCATAAAACGCTGCCCGGGGCTCCTCAAAACCAGCCTCTCCCATGTGGTAGATATGGAACTTGAGGTCCCCTCCATTCATGAGGGTCAGCACTAGGCAGAGAGCATCTTTAGTTTCATATGCATAGGCTAAGCTCACCTGCAATTTAGGGCAGAAAGGCTGTTAGAAGGCACAGCTGCAGCAGGGAGGTGCCCACACTCTGATGGGCACCTTCTCACCACAGAAATCAGCAGGAAGAGATGCCTCAACCCCCCCATCCCCTTCCAGACACAGAGGGGCTGAGGAATAGGCAGAGGGGGAACTGGCCACACACAGGGAGGGCCTGGAAGCACCCAACAGCTCCGCTATACCCCCAATTTCCCCAAGATGGTGAGGATGTTGTTCTGCATCCCGCTGCTCCCCTCTGGGGAAAGCAGTGCCCAACAGCAACCTGGCAGCATCCAATGAATCCTCCACAGGGGGAGGTGTCAGGGTGCCCGTGCCTTGGCACAGCCCTGCCCATGGGAGCCCCACGACCAGCCTGCTGCAGCATTTAGGTCACTGTGGAGGTAGCAAGAGGTCCTGCCTGATCCCAGCCTCATGGGAGGCAAGTGAAGACCAGCAGCTCCCATGGCACAGGGTCTACTCCTGCCTCTCCGCACAGGGTGAGGAGCACAGAGGTGCTGGGCTGGCTGATTGCAGGAGGAATCAACCACCGCAGCCCCGTGGTGCAAAGTGAGAGCAACTCCTATGTACTTACTACAAACCTACTGTTCACTTTTTCCAGGATCTGCTTTTCATTCAGGGCCATGGCCTCTCCCTTCCGCTTTTTGATCCGTTTCTTCTCCAGCTTCTTGCAGGCATACATCTTCCCTGTGGCACGCACTTGGCAGGCACAAACCTGGAGGAGGGACAGGACTCAACAACCTCCCACCACAGCATCCAGGGTCTACATCCTGCTCTCAGAAAGAGGCACAGGAACGCAAAGACACCCTTGTCATAACCTCACTCTTGTCAGGTCCATTTACAGACACATGGGAGGTGTCTGAGGCCTGAGAAGACAGGAGACCACCCAGAAACAGAAGGCAACCTGACAGTGACAGTTTCTGGACTGCTGTCTTCTTTGCCAAGAYACTAGGAATAGAGCTGGCCCTTTACCCAGGCAGCAGTGTGTACCACAGATGCTACCCACCTGTGCAATAACCTGGGCATGTCCTGTGTCCAGCAAGGGGGATCTCCTGCCCATCAGAGGGCAACGGACAGACAATGCAATGCCCAAAGTGCAGTGCTACCTGGCACAGAGCCCAGGACAATATCCCAGAAAAATTCCCCAGCCATGATAGCCACAGGGCCTGCCTCCAGCCTGGGTCCACAGCTCCCCTCTCCCTGTGGGCAAAGGTGGCTGCCAGGTGGCCCAAATGCAGAGGAAACACTGGTCACTCACCTCTCCAAAGCCACCTTTGCCCAGCACACGGTACTGACGGAAAGTGTTTTTGGTCACTGGCTGCCTGTGGGGCAAAGGAAACTGCAGTGAGTGAGATGGGAACAAGGAGGGAGACATCAGGGACTGAAGCCCAAACCATTCCCTGCCCTGGCCGAGGGACTGTGGCTCAACACAGAAGCCCTGCTTGAACACACCTTGCTCCCCTGCAAGGCAGGCAGACTGGTTGGGGGAGTTAGAAATGGCTGCTTGGGCTAGGAAAGGGCCCCAAAGGAGAGCAAGAGCAGGCAGGCAAAGGCCAGACCTTCAGCTCCTGCCAGGATGCAGCACAGGAAGGAGCTGGAGGGAGCCCTCAAGGCAGACACTGTGCTCCAGGGTTCAGGTCTCTCAGGGCCGCCAGGCAACATTACCGTTCCAGCCATTTCCACTGTAGGAAGCGGTTGAAGTACAAGCTGTCGAGGTAGTCAGCAAAGGGAGCCACGCTCAGGTAATCGTGGATGAGCCTAGGAGAGAGCAGAGAGCCCCCAAGGCTGCTGAGAGCTGCAGAACAGCCCGGTGGTCCCAGCAAAGAGGAGGTGAAGCAGCCCCCCAGGAGCCCCATCAGCACCACCCGCTCACCCAGCCTGGCCCAGGCTGGGCCACCCTGCACGGCCCCGGCCCAGAAAGGCCACCCAGCCCTGCACTGGCTCGCAGGGCAACAAGAAGGTGTGGGGGACACCGCTGCGACAGGAGCAGTGCCCTGGCACTGCACGGGCATTGCTGACTGTGGCCTCTGCGGCAGCCCTAGCTGCACCACGGGGCTCTCTGCAGTTGCCCCTCTGCTTGCCCGGCAAATGCCAGGCTGCACCCGGCTGCTTCCAGCTGCGCTCGGCTCGGGGCGCTGAGCTGCTTGGTTTCAGATGAATATCCGGCACTAAAGGCCACAGAGGATCTTGTTCGGAAGAGCGAACTGCCTGGGTGACTGGTGCCAGGGCTGCCCCGCGCTGTAAAGAGCCTTAGACAAAGTGTCTAGACTGGAGACACGCATCAAGGAGAAGCGGATGGTCCTTCCCTTTCAGAGCCTGCCAAGAGCAGGCAGGGCCCAGCCCGGAGGCTCTGCATTCAGACAGCGACACTCGTTACCACACACAGAGTTAATGCTTCCCAGCAGACTGCAGCAGAGCCGTTGCCACAGCCCTGCACCCAGTTAGGCAATGTGCTCGAGCTGCTGTTGAGCGCAGGGTGCAGGCTGCAAGCCCAGTTTGCCTAACAGCTTCCTCTTCACACCCAGACCCGAGGCCTCGGTCCCTGTTTCTGCTACGAGCCCCAGGAATGAGGTGACCTCAGAGTCCTGCAGCAGCCGCTGCCATTGCCGAGCCACAAGAGCCACATCTGTGGGCAGCAGGAGATGGCAGCTGGCCCTGGGACGGCACCAGCCAGCACTGCGTTACAGSTGGCCACGAGACCCACACAGCACAGCAGGCAGGGCATGGCCTGATGCTGAGGCCAAACAGGCCTCCTAAACAGGAACTGAGACCCCTGAGACACTGTGAGGATGGACCGAGGCACCAGCCGCAACGTGTGGCACACAGAGCCCAYGGGAACTTGGGGGGCTCCTGAGCCAGGGCCTGGGCACCAGCCCTCGCCAYCCTGCAGGAAGGGACCACCACAGACCAGGGCGCTTGGCTGCAGGATCTATCACCTGTGCAGGCCCCGGCCCTCCAACTTACTTAGTGGATTCTTTGAAGAGCTCCTTGGAAGGTTCCTGCTCCAGCCTCTCACAACAGGCACTCACTAACTGTGAGGGGACTTCAGGCACATGGTCCTCACTCTGGGGACAAAGGGATCAAGTCAGACACAGGGAGCACAGCCCAAGAGCCCTGCCTAGAAACACAAACTGATGGGAACAGCACACAAGTGGCCATTTGATTTAGGGACAGAGGGAAAAGCAGAACAGTCACTTGAGGGGTGATGGGTGACGCAGTGCTCTGCCCAGCATATTCGCTGCACCAGGACATGAGTAATGACAATTGTTGGCTTTCCAACTGTTTTCCTACCGTTGCAAGCAGCAAACATGGTCTTCTCRCTCACCTTTGGCTTCAAGTACTTTTCAATCAGGTGTTGCCCACATTCCTTCCGCTTCTCATCTGGAGCCACTTCGTACCCTGCCTGCACAGAGCAAACACTGTCAGGAGCAGGTCGGGCCAATTACCGGGCTTTGCTCCCAGGCAACAGCTGCAAGGCAGCAACACCCTGCCCCAGGTACCACGATCCYGCGCCTTCCTGGAGAACCAGATCTCCAGCAAACAGCTCCCCGCACAAAGGCCCAGCCCTATCCTGGAGAAACTGCAGCTCGCCACTTCTTCCTTCAGGAAAACCCTACAGGTCCCAAGGCACCCGGCAGCAGCTCCGATGCTCGGGGCCAGCCGGCGTGCACCGGGAACGCCACGAGCATCCCGGCCTTGGCACTTACCACGGCATCCAGGAACTTGACGCAGCGCGACAGCTCAGGCCGCGTCTCGCAGAACTGCCGGAAGAGCATGCGCCCGATGGGCTGCTTCTCACACAGGCTGTGGTAGTCCCGCTCTGCAAACGGGGAGGAGAACATCATGAGCTGGCAGCCCCCCCGAGCCCCCTGCCCTGGTCCCAAGCTGCTCACACAGGCCCTGCCAGCCTCACAGCCCTGGCACAGGGAATCACCCCCAACAGGGACAGGAGGCTTCAAGGCCACCCTGTGGAAGAGTTTCCTTCCTTGAGGCCTTGCTATACAGTTTGCCCCTTCTTGTTTCCAGGAGGGCATCTGCTCAGCTGGAAGCTCTCTGCTCAATCCTCTGCTCACAGAGATCAGCTCACTCTTCCAGACACACAACTTTCTTTGGGACAAGAGAAACACATCAAGTTTGTTCCTAGGTAGGCCTCCCAGGCAAGAGCTGCTCTGATGACTCTTACAAAGCCCTCAAATTTACCAGGTCCTGCTGGAAACAGTATTACCGGAGAGCGTTATTTCCACAGCATTCCCTGCTAATGCAGCACACAGCAATCAGAGCACCTCTGCCTCCTGGACAGCCGTCAGTGTCAGCTCCTCCTGGAGCTGTTCCCTCTGGTGATTCCCCGTGCCCTTCTCCCCCAGGYCCTCTGCATTCTGGCATGCCAGGCCCAAACATCTTTGACTCTCTATAGCATGTCCAGCGCCACAGAAGATCAGTAACCCAGTCTTATTTCTCCAGACAACTTTAAAACACGTAGAGTTTTTCTTTTCCTCTCCTGAATTTTAGCAGGCCCTTTTCCTCTTCCAGGTTAGGAGGAAAATATGAGCAAGCCCTGGGTCACGGCAGATTTCTAACTCAGCCATTGCCACGGAGGGTTCAGCACAGCAGGACACTCCCTGTGCCACCAAGCCCCAGGGAGGTCCGTCTCACCCGCCCGTAAAGACCCCAGCGCTGGGGCAGGGTGGTAGGGGGGTCACCTCTCCCTCTCCCCACCTCGCTGGATCCTGAGCTGCCTGCGCTGCCCCAAAGCTCTTGTCGAGCCCCGACCTGCCCCCCGGCACGGCCTCCAGGCAGCTGGTGCCCTGTGCAGCACCCAGTGCTCTGCACGGCGCCCGGCCGCCCCCAGGCTCTCGGCCCGGGTCCCGCAGTGCTTCCCGGCGGCTGCTCCGAGGAAGCTGCGGCTTCCTGCCGGGCGGAGGAGCCCGCGCGGGGCAGGGGCCGTCGCCGCGGCCCGGCCGTGTCCCCGCTGCTCGGCAAGGGGCTCCCCGCGGCCGGGCAGGACCGGGAGCTTTCGGCTTCCCCCGGGGGCTGCCCCGGCCCCGTCGGGTTGTTCTGCAAGCGCAGCCGGCTGCACCGCGCTGCCCAACCTCCGGAACGGGAAGCAACCGTCTTTCCAGGGGAGAAAAACAGAGACAGCGGCGGGTGAGCAGCACACGAGGACTAGGGTCACCTCTACCATGGGGAAGCGAGAGTTGCGTGGGGCAGAAGTCACTCGTGCCTCCCAAGGGGAAGGGGAAGCAGGGCCACTGCCTGGAACCCGCCCCCAAAGCCAGCCCCGCCACGGGGACAGGCAGAGCGTCAGCAAAGGGGAATGTCCCTGCTGGAAAACACTGTGAGACAGCCACGAGAAGCAGGGCTGCCCTCAGAGGAGAGGYCCCGGTGGAAGGAAAGCTCTGCTGAGGACACGCAGCAGTCAGAAAAGGGCTTGGGATGGTGAAGGTGTCAACTGCAAGGACAGCCACACCAGGAATGCACTCAGGGCCTGGGACGCACTCCAGGGATGCAGTTTTGAGCAGCCCATTTGCTCCACCGAGCGCTGAGGCCCAGTGAGTAGCTGGTGACTGGCGAAGGCAGGGCAGCAGATCTGGGCTCCTGCGAGTCTGGAGGCACAGCAGGGATGCTGCAGGGGACAACCGTGACAGCCCMAGTGCTCCGAAATGGAGGCAGCCCCTTCTCCTTGGGGCTGCTGGGCTCTGGAGCGCCTGGACAGAGCCCAGGGTGGTCTGTAGCTGCAGAGACGTGCCCAGCTCGTTCAGCTCAGTGGGCCCTGCTCTGACGCAGGACTAACCACGTGTCACTGCTCCAGCTGAGCCCACGCTGGCAACTTAAAGCAGCTCAGACTAAAGACCTAACAGCAGGGAGACCTTTGCCCAGAAGATGCCACGGGTTTCTTGCACAGCTTTCCTGCTCCCCAGTGCTCCCCGTTTAAGAACCAAAGCCATGTCTCAACACGATTTCTCATGATATCAGGACCAAGCCTGCTGCACAAACAACATTAAAAGCATGAACAGTACAAAGTGCAATACTAAAATGACAGACCAAGCCCTGCCCGGCTGCACACTTCTCATCCATGCTGTGCAGCAAGAACACCGTTTTCCTTGGAGTAAAGCTGCTGGAGTAGAAGCTAAGGGCCCCGTTCAGGACTGAGTCGTCGCCAGGAAGCCACAGGCCATGAGCAGAACCTGTGTTACTGACGCAAAGCCCCTCTGAGCTACGCTCCAGAGCTCTGCCACACCGAGCAGGGCTGGTCTGCAGCAAAGCCCATGGCAGGCTGGAAGGCCCGTGAATACRGCAGGAGGTATCATCCACCAAGCACCACGCAGCTGCGAGTCGTTGCCTCTGCATCTTTTCTTCCTCGCACCCCTGACCAAGGGTCTGGGCTCGGGCCGGCGCAAGCCCCCTTAAAYGCTCCCCAAAAGCCTCTCCAACGTGGGGCTCCGCGCAGCTCCCCGCAAGCCGCCGCTCACCCAGGCTTTGGCGCAGGTCCTCGCAGAGGCTGATGTGGGGGAACTGCAGCATCTGACGCCATTTCTTGCTCTTGCCCTTCCGGTTTCCGCCGCCGCCTGCGAGAGAGACAACGTTGGGGTTAGGACCAAGGGAAGCGATGGCAGCCCCAACCTCGCAGCGCTCGGAGCCGAGACGGGACTCCCTGCTGGCTGTCTGCACAAGCAAGYCCAGGCACGAGTCCACGCAGGGGAGTGGGACACTGGGGGTGTTGCTGCCTCCTGCCCAACACAGCCWATGCACCCAGGTTTCGGCCCGAGTGCTGGAGGAAATCCTTGGACTAACTAGGGCAGCACAAACTCACCCTCAGCAGCACTGACATCCTTTACCTGCCCATTGATTTGGGGGGAGGTGGGAAAATCACAGCACAGAGACAGGAGCACCTAAAGCCACAGGTTATTCTGTGTCTGCCCGAGAGCTCCTGGCTCCCAGGTCTGTCCTGGGCACCTCTGCACAGCCAAAAAYCTTCCCAAGTGGAGCCTTGCTCGGAGCAAAGCTCCTCACCTGAGGTTCCTGCTGTAGCTGATGCCACCTCCTCATCCCAAGCTGATTGCCTGCTCTAGGGAGGAGCTCTGGGAGAAAGGACCCGAAGCTGGGAGACAGGAATTCCTGCCCTCATCCCTGCTCCGCAGACAGCTGGCTGCATTGCCCGGGGCTCAGCACGGCTTTCCCACCTGTGAAGTGGGGCATTCCCACYGCTCTCAGAGATAAGCTGGCCTCAGACGAGCAAGCAAGATCCCAGAGCCAGATATCACTGCAGCTTCACTYCTACAGCCAGATATCGCTGCAGCTTCAGTCCTGCGGAGTGAATGCYCACGGCTGCAGGCCAGGGTGGGAGAGCTTCTCCATAGACAGAAAAGGGAGCATTTACATGACAGCAGGCACTGAGCGCTGCAATGCTTGCGTGCCCCATTGCTCAGAGCAGGGAGCCTCAAGGGAATTTCCTCCCTCCTGCCCATTCCCAGCAAACAGCCCGCCATGGAAGCGCATTATCCCGCTGCTGAGCTAGCCCAAGGCACCGCCTGCCAAAAACAAGGAGGGCCGAGCACCATTTACCAGTTTTATGGCAGTTTGTCCACGGCACGCGCAGGACGCGCTGCCCCTGACCTGCTGTCCCCGCCGCATCCCGCTGCACGGGAGCGGGGCGTCGCGCCGGCGCGGCGGGCAGCGCCGCTGCCTCTGCCCCGCGCCCGCAGCGCGCCCGCACGGCTCGACAAGCGCAGGAAGGAAGTGACTCAAGGGTGAGCGGCGCCGCGCGAGCCCGGCGGCGCTCACACCTTCTTGTCGGCMGAGGCCAGCCCGGTTAGGCCAGCCCGGTTAGGCCGGGCCCAGCCGGGAGCTGCTCCTTGCCGGCTCCAGGGCCCTGCACGAGGCTGCTCCCCCACAGCCGGCCCAGCAGGGACCGTGCGGGTGCAGCCCGCGGCCCTGCAGCCCCTCGGGGGGCAGCGCGGGCCCCGCACAGCGCCCGGGGCTCGCAGGGGTCTCCGGGCTGCTCCCTTCACCAGGGCGAGGCGGGACTAGCAGACGGGTCTGTCACCCTCCCTGCCCCCGAGCCTGCTCGGCCCCCGGGCCAGATTAAAGCCAAGGCGGAGCCGGGTCCTACAGCAGCAGCTTAAGGCGGGCCCGGCGCCCCGGCGGAGCAGGAGCCTTCCCG